TTACGGCCGCTTTTCATATAACGGTAAATTTCGGAAATGCTTGAAATTTCAATATTTTGAAATTTAAGGACGCTAGTTTACTTAAAATTTATACACGCCGGCTTATCATGTAGCGGTAGCTTTCGGAAAGGTGGGAAACATATATTTAATACTTGCGCCGGGTATTTAATGTTCGGCTCCGCCCGAACTTAGACTTTCTTACTTGTTTTTTTTTTTAGTCTGATGCACATACAATCTTGCAGAGGTGGTAAAAGAACTTTACCATTGGCCACCGTACCCACCCACATTTTTGCACCAGTAATTTTTTTTTATATAAATCCATTAGGGATGTCAGTGGCAAAAATACATCGATTTCTTTCCTCGCGTCGATGCATCGGAGGGCTTACATCGATGCATCGGTACGCATAGAGCTTTCCCAAACTATGAAAATAAAACAAAACGAATTTCAAACAGTTTAACAAACTTTTATTTTAATTATAAGTATACATATTATGGTGATTTTTATACCCGAGCGCACTTGTGCACAATAGTTCACATAACGGTTGTTTGTAACAGCCAAAACGAATCGAGATAGATATAGACAAATGTATACATAAATGCCCAGAATGAAAAGAGAAGTCGATTAAGCCATGTCTGTCTGTCCGTCCGTCCGTCCGTCTGTGCACACGATAACTCGAGTAAAAATTGAGATATCTTAACGAAACTTTGTACGTGCACTTCTTTTGGGCGTAGGACGGATGGTATTGAAAATGGGCAAAATCGGACAATAACCACGCCTACCTCCCTTATAACGGTAATTTTCAGAAATACGAAAACTGCGATATTTTAGTAACTACTGAAGATTATTCACTCAAAATTGATATTTACAGTAATAGACGAAAAATAAGAATATTATAAATTTTTGGAAAATGGGCGTAGCCACGTCTACTTATGGTTACATGTGTATATCTTGGTGACCGCTGAACCAATTTCTTAAAAACTTAGCAAAGTTGTTAGCCTTGCTACAGCATACCAAATGGCCGACAATTTTTATAATCGGACATTAACTACGCCCACATCCCATATAACGGTAATTTGGAGAAATACGAAATCTTCGATAAATCAGTAAATATTAAAGCCAATTTATTCAAAATTGATGCTTGCAACAATTCTTTTCCAAGAAATACGTTTATGATAAAATTTTTGAAAATGGGCGTGGCACCGCCCGCATAGCGGTTGTTGCATAATTTGCCATTTGGCTTGTTTTGTGCATTAAAACTGTTTTTGATTATGCATCAAGAAAATTAATTGTTCTTATTATTTTTAACCAATTTTTAAACCGCTTTCCAAGTCCCTATTTTTTTAATAAGGCTGTTTAAACAAAAAAAAATTGAAGGACAAAATCAAAAACAACTTTAATGCAAAAAACAACCCAAACAGCAAATTATGCACCAAAAAAGTTATTTGTTTTTATTATTTTTAACCAATTTTCAAACCGCTTTAAAGTCCCTATTTATTTTTAATAAGGCTGTTTAAACAAAAACAAATTATGCATCAAGAAACTTAATTGTTTTTATTATTTTTAACCAATTTTTAAACCGCTTTCCAAGTCCCTATTTTTTTAATAAGGCTGTCTAAACAAAAAAAAACGACAAAATCGAAAACAGTTTTAGTGCACAAAGAAAGCCAAACGGCAAATTATGCAACAAAAAAATTAATTGTTTTTATTATTTCTAAGCATTTTTTAAACCACTTTCCAAGCTCATATTATTTTTTTAATAAGGCTGTTAAAACAAAAACAAATTAAACGACAAATTCGAAAACAGTTTTGGTGTACAAAACAACCCAAACGGCAAATTCCACTACAAAAAAACTAATTGTTTTTGATGTATTGTGGAACGTTTTTTCGTCATCCCTTGTCAAATTTGGTTTGGAGACAAACCGGTTTCGGCGTTGTGCCATCTTCAGTGTCATTTTTCGTTCTGAATAGTTCGTGTTTCCTTCCGCTTTTTATGTATTCGTGTTACTATCTGTTTTAACTGTCATTAGGTCATGCATACCCATCTAAGTGCGACCGCTTTTGTTTCATTATCTCACAGGTAGGTGCTTTTTGGTTGCTTGTATTCGCCGGCGGGTAGAAATCCGTTATTTTTATTTTCTTGGTTTTCGTGATTGCGTCGGTTTATGTTCCGTTATTTAGCAGGTATTAGGTTGCTTGCTTGTGCCGGCAGATAGAATATTCGAACCACTCAAGATGTTGTACGAAAAATATGAGAAGACCCCGGAAAAAACGCCAACGCGAAGATACATACCTACGCCGCAGATACCAAGGGAATGAAAATAACGGATTTCTATCTGCCGGCACAAGCAAGCTGTGCTGTGTGTGTGTGTGCGCTGTGATTACTTAGATGAACAGCGCAAAATCTAAGTAATCACAGCGCATACATACATACTACAGACATACATACAGACAATGTACCAATCCTAGAGACCAGCATTACGCTGTTTATCTAGTTAGCGGCACTTACAAAGAGAGAGACTAAA